GTGTAGAGGGACAGTTTCGAAAGAATCACGAAATTGTCGAAATGCAGACAATATTTAATAATTAAACAAAAAAAAAAAAATCTCGGAAAAAAGAATTCTCGGGACGAAAAAAAAAATTCTTGGGAAAAAAAATTCTCGGAAAAAATAATTTCTCGGATTATTTTTTTTTTAATAATTAATTCCGGGAGATTTCCAAGATTAAATAAAAAATTGCCAAATAATCAATCAACTTAATCAATCAATCAATCAATCAATCTATCAATCTCAAATGATTGCTGGTTGATTGATCGATTTTTCAATCGATCTCCTGATTGACTGATCAATCAATCGAAGATTGATTGGTGGCAATCCGCCGATCCAATCAATCAATCGATTGATTGGTTGTTGCCAAGATTCACTGCGCAAGCTCCAATACCACTTGTAGCCTATCAGGAAGTGAAATGCACCGAGAGCCTAAGATCTAGCAATGATGAAAGTGGCAACAACCAGCAGCATAGATGCAACATTCACAAGATGCCAATGTGCTCAATGCAAAGAGTGAACCAACGAGAAATTGACAACAATGCATTCACATCGTCACCATCATAGGCTGGGATAACAGCGCAGCGAAATATTTAGTAATCAAAGGACACGAGGATAGACAAACATGAAAGAGAGAAACTTCGGAAGGGCAAAACATCAGAAAGATTGCCCTTCCGCTCAGACACATGGGGAGAGATCCATAGACATGCGAGAGAGATCTCCGAATGTCGTACACAGTTCAATCCCAATGTAGAGTACAAGTCCGATCTGAATGTCGTGTCCAATAAGGCAGAATGCCGTGTCCAAACAATGTCTGCAGTTACCTCTATCTCTACTCTGATGAAGGAGAAGAAGAAGAAGAAGAAGAAGAATAAAAAGAATCCGGAGGAGTAGAAGAAGAAGAGGAAGGAGAGAAGAAAAAGAGAAGAAGAAGAAGAAGAAGAAGAAGAAGAAGAAGAAGAAGAAGAAAGTTAGGCGTTTTTTGTTCCTACTTACCTGGGTGCTGACTGCAGGTGCCGCGGAAGCCCAGCTATGGCGTTGGTAGGTCGCGACAGGTAAGTTTCTCTTCTCTCTCTCTCTCTCTCTCTCTCTCTCTCTCTCTCTCTCTCTCTCTCTCTCTCTCTTCTCTCTCTCTCTCACTCTGAACTTCGCTAACCTCCCCGGCGCTGGACTCCTCCAGCGTTGTACCTCGATGCTCAAGAACAGCGCAGCCGGCAGCCTCAAAATAGCGCAGCCGGCGGTCTCCAAAATAGCACAGCAAGCCGAATCCTGAACCAGCGTAACGCTGGGTTTCTCCTTGTGTCCTCTGTCCAGAACTGGGCGCTGGCCCAAATTAAGTAGCGCTAGGCCGGACCCAGTGAGTCCACGGCCTTCGTTCTGGACCATGCAGATCGAAATCCGATCCATGGTCCAGATCGCAGGCTTCGGACTTGGTTCAGTCCTTGGCCTAAAACGGCCTGCCTGGGTCCCTACCGGATGTCCAGGCCCTGCCCAGGACTGGGCCTGTTCGGTACCTGGTCCGATTCAGGGCCTGTGCGAATGCATCGGGCCTGGACGTCAGCCCAGGTCCGAATGGTCCAAAATCTGTCCGAAAACAAAAAAAGATCCAAACGTTTTTAGAGGCTCAGCCTCTGGGCCTGAATCTGACCCTGGCCCTAAAACGTGTACCTGGCCACAAACGGACAACAGCACACACGTTAGAAAAACAGCAGCAATAAATAAAGAAAAAAATATAAAAATAATCTAAAGTTGGCGTTTTTCTGATGCAGGCCCAAGTAAAAATGCCATAGGGCATTCAGATTGCGGTGACGCGACCTGGGGGCCCTATTCCAACCTCGGGTCCCGTGAGGGGCCCGTGTGTAGGCTCTCAACATGTAACACCATCCCACTGGAATGGTACCGAATTCTCAAACATAGTCCCACCCTGAAAATAGGTGATTGGGTGGCAACCACTGTGACAGAGACCCCGTTGAGGATTGGCCAGATACAAATGGTCTCATCACAAACAGTCCTGGTCGAACACTACACTATGACCAAAACGGGCACCCTCCAAGGGACTAGAACACCTTTCGAATGGAAAGAAAAAACAGCCGTATGCCGAGTTAGAGTTACAGAGGAGAAGGAACAAAGGGTGGTGTTCCAACCATGCAAACCAGTCCAGACCTGGCTCTGGACCCAGTAGAATGGAGTTGGAACCCCCCCCCCATAAAGGGGAGCTCCCAAGGTAGGTCATATTAGCCTGCACCAGTTGACAGTCAAATCAACCTACAAAATGCTCAAACCTAAACAGTTTCTGAGAGACACGATTAACGATAGATGGGCCAGACACCTAAATGTAGACCGCTCCCTCCTATCACCAATCCAATCGTTCAAGGAACAAAAATCTAAGCTCATGAAAATCACCTCCCTACAGTGGCAGATCGCCCATCGCTGTCTGCCCACCAACGACTGGTTGACTGACCGCACAAACCTCGAACGACGAGGTCTACTCCCATGGTGTCAGCGGTGCCAGAGTCTTTTCCCGTTCCATAAGAAGGTGGAGACCATTGAACATATCTTCATGCAATGTCCGATTGCCCAATTCATATGGAGATGGTGGGACCGCATCTGGCGGAAAATGGTATCTGACATCCCCTGACCCTGGTCATGGCAAACCATATTGGCTGGACATTAGCCTTTGGCAGGAACAGCCACGACCTTCCGAGTCGTAGGGAACATGTACAGGCTTGGGAGGAGAGCGGTGATATGGGCACTGCAGAGATGCACCCTAGCCATGGAGAAGGTACGGGTGGAGGGGTCAGAGGTGCACCCTAGCAATAGAACAGATTCAGCAACAGGTGCACCTTGAACTCACGCAAAGATGGTCGGACACAAAATCACAGTTAGACCTCTTCAGACAAACTGGAGATGTTAGGAGACGGATCACGACATTTTGTACGGACTGGGTAGGAGGGGAAACGGGAAGGATGGATTGCAAAAGTAGAATGGAGTGGTGACAGGGGAGAAGAGCTGCGGGATCTGGATGAGATGAGCGACTACCATCTAGTTTTCAGGGACTGGACAAACATAGAACCCTCGTTCCCACTACCCCCCTCGGATTTTCCAGACCCCTTCCCACCTCACGCCCTTTCTCTGGCAGAGATTCTGTCCTGAACAGGTACCTGAACAGTTACCCTTTCCCTGATATCCTTACTCCCACAACATGTGCATATATACATACAATTAGATGCATACTTACATACATATGTACGCCCACATATGGAAATCTGCCCCGGTGCCCCCTGGGGAGGACTTCGCTAATGTACATATCTGTCGCTTATTTGCCTGTTCAGTTGAGATAGTCAATGCTGGCAGTCTGAGTATCCTGAGTATCCTGAGCAATCTGTGTCACTCAGCTGGGCATGGTCTGGAGTGAGTAGTCTCACTAAAACCCAGGATGAAATTTCAGCTAGTTCATGCCATCCAGGGTAAATAGTATTTGGCGCTTTTTTTAAGAGTGAAGAGGTACAGGTAAAAGGCTACACTGCCGAACACTATATAGACCTGCTCGGTCAATCCCCTGGGTTGCAGGGCAATCAATGCTGGCAGGCCAAACGGTCACTATTCTCAATATTCTCAGTCATTCTCATTTTCTGTATATGGGACGCTGGACCCATTTTCCAGCAGGTGATGCTCCCCACCAATAGGTGGAGCTCCCCCCACGTGTTAGTGGTGCCTGCTCGTATCAGCAGCACTAACACTGGTGGGGGTTTATAAAAAAAAGAAAAAAGGAAGAACACAGAGCGGAAATCATAGCAATTGTGCCATATGAATGGAAGTCTCGCCTTATCCGGGTGTCCCAGACCCGACCGGCACATGGTATGTACAA